TTAAACATCTCGCCCACAAATTTCGTAACTTTGTAAAAAGATCATTCAAATCGGTCCTGCCGTTATAAAACAATCCCTAGCGACTTTCTTCCTTCGTCTCCTCGTTAAAGGTTTTTTTTTTTTCTTTCATTTTTTCTTTTCTATTTTGTACAAACGGAATAATATATTCAGGCTCTCTCGGATATACAAGTTAATTATAGTATTATAATTATAGTTATTATTATAATATTAATATTAATATTATTATTATTATTATTATTATTATTACCAATTTTTGATAAAAACAAAGCACCGAACGACATTTTTTACATACACATGTAACCGTAACGATCGAGCTAACAAAAGAAAAGAAGAAGAAAAAAATCATTGTCATATTTCAAATTTGTTTTGCTCAATTTTTCAAAATCTATTTCCCAAGAGAAGCCTCTGTTAGTTTATATGTGTAGAGAAAATTTTGATTAAATACTCTAAGATAAATCGATCAGTCTAATCTAACACACAATAATGATGATAATGATGATTATCTTTATTGTTATGTAAGATGGATTTCAAAGCATAATAATAAAAATCAGTAAAAGTGTAAAAACACGAAAAACAATTACTCTCGACGCGTATAATTTCTATTTTTTTTTAAAATGATGCATATAGTTTTAAACTAAAGCCATGTAATTTTGTTATGGCGCTTTTAGAAAAGAAAAATATTTCTTTTTTAAAAGACCTTAGTGTCACGAACAAAGATCAGAGAAACGATTTATATATTTAACATATTTTCTCTCCCTTTTTTTTCTCTCCGAGTTCTTTTATCTTTATTTATAATTTTATCATCTATTCATCTTTGCATTTCGATCTTTTTCCTTCTTTCGTATGATCAATAGAAAAAAAACTGTTAATGTATGATTTACATTTATGTACGTCGGCGATTAGACGCGCGCGCGCACACACACACACGCACGCACGCACTCATTAGATTTAATATCCTCGATATTATTATATCGAGAATAAAAATTTTCCATTCAAACACATCGTTCGACTTCCGTACACGCGTTAATTTCAATCTCCTTGTCTTTTTTCTTATCATTTGTAATCCTTTCTTGTTGTATAATTAAACTTACAGAAAAAATGTTGAAAAGATTTTTTTTTCGCATATGACAATTCATGAAAATTGGAAACAATTATAACTCGTGTATATTTATTCATTATTGTTTACTCCTGATCTGTATTTTATTAATAAATATTTTATTATACCGATCAAAAGCCGACAAAGTAATTAAAAATGTTAAAAATTAAATTCGTTTGATTTTCGCGTGCAAAATATTATTACATTTAATTGACATGCATGAGTTTGGCAAAAATAAAAGAAAAAATGTTTTTATTTATATTTTTTTTTTTCTTTTCACCAGCAAACTTATGGATGTACACACGTGAGGATTTAACATTACCTCATGATATAATATGTAATATTCATAATATATATGCACGTATATATTACAAATAATCAATTAAAGGTTTGCCTTGAAAGTAAGTAAAAATATATATGTATATTATGTATGTATATGTGTGTATGGTTTTTTGTATCATTTTCTTTTTTTCTATCTTTCTCTCTTTCACCGTCACAAATTCTCTCACCGTCCATCCATTACAATTCACTTTCTATTCACCCCTTTAAGCACGCAAACCGAACGTTCTAATAATATGTTTTCCTCCCCATCTTTCGAAAACAAGCACTAATTTTAAAAAAGTGAATAAAGACAAGCATACAATAGAAGAAATTATTATTCGACCGGATGTCGAGAATTATAAAAAGAAATAAGTTCGAAACAACGCTGCTAAAGACATTTCTTCATAATCAATCTTTCTCAAAGTTCAATTAAATTAATTACGCGTGTGAAAAATATATTATTTCTTTTGAGGATTACTATCGCGTTATAAAACCTACTATCTACCAATATGGTACGCATGATAATGATGTAAAACTAAATAATTGACTGACCGCAGAATGAGTTGTAAAACTCGAGTAATTTTTTTTTTTTTTTCTAAATTTTCCTCACGATAGGAAAAAAAAGAAACTCTCAAATGCGATTGCAAAATACATGAAAAAAGGAGGTAGGGGCCCTTTTTCGTCTAGAGAAAGGGCAAACCGATCGACGCTGGTAATACGTGCGAATAGCACAAGTTTTTTTTTTAATATCCTACGTCCTATGAAACAAACGATCCAACGACACGACAACAAACGATCGAGTTCAGAGCTAGCACGCAACTGGACGATCACGAAATACAAGCCTAGCGAGGCACCACAATTCGTATTCCCTGTTTCTTTTTTCCCCCCTTTTATTTTCGTATAAAAAAGACCTAATCTACCTAACGTCTACGTTATTCAAAGCCTTAAAGATGAAGAACGAACCTTTCATTTTGCAAATGCTACGTGTCCACCTTCTCTCTCTCTCTCTCTCTCTCTCTCTCTCTCTCTCTCTCTTTCTCTCCCTTTCTTTCTTTTTCATTCTACCGCTGCTGCTGCTGCTTCTTCTTCTTCTTCTTCTTCCTCTTCTTCTTCCTTACCACCCCTATTCGTTACCCTTTCGTATATAAGAAAACAAAAAAAAAGATAAAAAAAAACATATTACGAAAGACACTAAGAAAGAAAAAGAAAGAAAACGTGTCAGCACCTTTCGCCTCTTTTTGTACTTAAGAGATCGGAATGATAACTATGTTTCTGAGCGTTCGAATTGAAAATAAATGTTGACAATAATTTATTATAACGTTGCTCATTATACAATTTATATCATTTACAACGTATGTTGAGATGTACATACGTATATAAGACGGTCACTCGATCGTATCATTTACGGAATTCATACTCGCGAGCATACTTAATCATTCGTCGATAGCATTTGATATGACAAATATGTTAGATAACCTCGATACACTCTTACATTTACTGACCGCTCTGTAAATGCAAAATTTCTCAAGGCACACTCCCATATTTTAATTATGAGCCGCACTGAACGACGACGTTAGATCGTTCTACAATTTTTTTTGTCGATTATATTTCTCCCTTTACCACGCTGCTATCGAGTTATGCTTTCCGAGTAAAAATGGTAAAAACAAAAATTCATGGTTAACATAAAATACCACAAATAAAAACATCACTGTTACCGAAGCTCAATTTGAAAAAGCGGAAAATATGACAAATTGTTCGATCTTTAATTGCCAATGGTTAATTAAAATTTTTTAACTGCGTATTATGCACGAGAAAGCTAAATGACGAGATTGAGTTCCCTTAAAATATTTAGTAATGGATAAACTTTACAGCAATAAGAAAACAAATGTAAAAAAAAAAAAAAAAAAAAAAAAAAAAAAAAAAAAGAAGATAAAATCGAAAGTTAAAGAATAACATTNGCACGAGAAAGCTAAATGACGAGATTGAGTTCCCTTAAAATATTTAAAAATCGAGAGATCAAAATTCGAGAAGAAAAAAAAAAAAAAAAAAAAAAAAAAAAAAAAAAAAAAGAAGAAGATAAAATCGAAAGTTAAAGAATAACATTGAATAAAATAATAAACCAGATATTATCTCTTTCCCTTTCTCTCTCACCCTCTCTCACTCTATCTTTCTCTCTTTCTTTCTCACTGATCCGAAATCACAGACAATATTATTTTCTTGTTTAAAATCGTACATAACCCACGTGGGCCTGGCACAATACTTATAATCTACATATTATATAAAAAACTTCTTGCACCTCCGAAGAAATTTCGTTGTAACAAGCACCGAAATATAACGAGTATATATATGTATATATATATTATATATATATATATAATATTATATGAATATATATTTATATATACATATATATTTTTTAAATCGGTGGCCAAGCGCTAAAAACTATACTTCACAATTAAAGTATTCGTATCATTATATCACGAATAATCTCTCCCCAATTTCTCGGAATTAACTACAACTATACAAACTTTAGAAATTTCCGAGACTCGAAGATCGACTTTTTAATCGATGATTTTGAAAATATAATCTATGATGATATCGTTCATAAGATCCAGTGCAACAAAAATTTTAACCACCGATACAATCTAAATCACTCAACAAAGTTTAAAAAGTGATTGTAAAAAAGAAAGAAAAAAAAAAAAAGAGAAAAAATATGTTAAAAATAAAACCGCGTACGCGAAAACATATATATTTTTTAAAAAATATTCGGACACACCCTTAATCTTCGCTATAATAACTATTAATATTTAAATTTACAAGAAATATGTCTACCCTGATTACCAACGGGACTTTGTGATCTATTTAAGCGAAGAGTGATTTAGTTGTTAAACTACAAATATTCTCCCGGTCTCGTTTTCGATTGAGAAATTAGACTTTAAGATGTGGCAAGGTTCATAAATCAAAATAATTTTCTCCTGGAGAATACAACTTACTGAAACGTATCAATATTGATTTTTTAAAGACTAGTGAGTCAGCGAAATGTATTCTGGTATCCGACACAATGTCTATCATCAATCCGTAAGAAAAGTACACAAAAGCGTTACTAAAAATTAATCGTTGGTCGATTAATCTGAAATATAATTATTAATGCTCCTCCCAGTTAAATTTGACCAAATTCATTTATAATTAGATATGAATTAATTTCAGTAAAATCAAAATAAACAATCATTTAAAATAAGAATATAAACCTCCAACAAACGACAGAAAAAAGGAAAAACTGATGTAACTCTTAACACTCATATGTAAAACAGAATAATTGTCAATAGTTAGTGCAGTTTTATATATGAGGAGCTTTAATAGGCAGCAAAAACGAATAAAAAAGTATACTGCTGCCAGAATTTTTTGTTTGCTCTTACTACCACCGCTATAACCATTACTGCTTTCACTACAGGTACTTCTATATCTAGGACCTCCGACAATTATCATCGCTATCACTATGCCTTAAAGTTATCAGCATAATTCTTCACATTTCAAAATATTCTGGTAAAAAGAAAAACAATCCTTTTAATAATCCTTCCTTCAGAAGGTGCAACGTTATTACAAGTTTCCCTTGTATTTGTCTTCTATCGCATACATATGAATTTAAATTCATAAAGTACGTTTTCTTTTTCTCGTTCGTTCCTTTTACGTGACCGATTCTTGCGTAAAGTCACGCACAACTATCTGAAGTTATCAAACAATTTCGACCAGGTCGGTAAACATATAAATATTACGTATGACTTATAAAATGTTGATTTTCCAAACTTCGTGTAAATTGGGATTGGTTTTCGAGAGGTCGTTTAAACTGTATTTGATTTTGTGTGGGCATATGCATTTGCAATTGCATTTGTTGAGTCTGTAGCTGTGCCAAAGCCGTGGATGGTGCAAAAGCCGGATAAGCCAACGTCGTACTCAGACTTTCGTTATGCTCTTCCAAAGAATTTTGAGCATAATGTAGCACTAGATGTTTCAAGCTCTCATGAATATTGTAGGGCTCAGCGAAACCGTAACCTCGTTCAGTCGCATATATGATACAGTGATTTACAGTACCGTTGCACCTACGATTTTAATGGAAATGCAAATAGTAAGAATATTCTTCGTTAAATCAAAGTCCTTTTTATAAGTTTCTTTTGTTAAAATAAAATAACTTACATAATTGACAAAGCATATTGGCCAGTTCTTGATCTTCGTACAAGGAACGTACCATCCGGCCGACCAGCAAGAATACGATCGGCATCAGAACGTGATCCTTCCAAATAGAGCCAAGTCTTCTCCTCTGTATGTACTTCTAAATCAACTTCTGGAAGATCTCCGTATACTAAATCGCCAACTAATGGATTTGTAAGTGAATGATTTAGCACTAACTGATTGATTTTGTTTGCCGTCATGCCATTTTTCTTCAACCATCTAGCGAAAATAAGAAAACAAGATGCAAACTTAATACAATCTGATTATGAGATGAATTGTAACAAGAAGAATAAATGAAAATCATCAACGTACGTGAAATGTTTGTCCCTTTGCCTTACTAGTTGAATAATTTCCGGTTTTAACTTATGCATTTCTCTTTCAAGAGTTCTATTATAAGCGATTCGCTGCTTCAAACTATCATCCAATTGTTCTTTACTGTCTTCTAAAGATTTCAATCTGCGTTTCAACAGTTCTGCATTTTCGGTTAAGCTGTAATAATTATAATACTTCTATGTAAAACGGTATATTACGAAATGAAAAACATGAATAATCAAGGTCTATCGAAAGCGATTGCAAGCAACAATTGCTAATATTTTTATTTAAACAATTTTTCTATTTTGTCGAAACAGATGAATAATATATCATGATATTTTTTCTAAACCAATAATAAAATATAAAAGTATATCATTTCATCGACAGATTTTGATTATTATTTCAATGATTAATACTTCCAAAAAATTTGGAAAATTTGTAACAAATAAAAATACACTTTTCCATGTTCACAATATTTTTCGCAAACCCATTTATATATATTTATTTATTAAAAAAACTCACGTCGATATCTCGTGCGGCTGAGCTTCTTTCTGGAACTTTTCCTGCAATTTCATTTGATCCTCAAACATTTTAATCGCTTCTGAAAATGCTTCCAGAGCTTGTCTTTTTAATTGAACCTCGTAAGCCGTTTTACTATACAATTCGGAACAATCTTGATATTGTCGACACGTATCAACTATTTCTTTGCTCAATTCGGCAAACTTTTGCTTGACCGTTGCCATGTCCGTTGTACTTGCAATCTCGTCATCCTATTTTTAATTTAAACAAAAAAAAATTTTTTAGTATCTAAATTCACCATAAATTATGCATATTTATAATTAGAATAACTTACTTGTTGAAAACGTGATACAGGATATAGTAACTTGATATCCAAAGTAGAATTATATTGAGCCAAGGAACAATTCCTGTAGTAATCGACCAGTTCGATAACCGAATGAAAATTATACGGCTCGGAAAAGCCATAATTTCCATTGCGATGACAAATTTTGATAAGCTTATTCGTACCACCTTTACGTAACGTCAGAGTATATTCACCTCCTTTGGAAGACGCATTGCGAACTAAGAAAGTACCATCAGGCGAATCAATCATTTTTTCATTTACTTCATCTCTCGTTATATCTCCCCAATACCATTCAGCTTCCTGAAGCGTTCGTGGCCTGTAAACAAATTTTTAAGATAACACTAGTACTAAATTTAATTTATTCCTAATTTCTTGTTTGTTTTATCGAGAAGTATACGCGTTGATTAATATATTAAATATATATACAAAATTCGCGTACAAATTGAGCTTTTGAGTTGACTGGGCCCGAGACTCGAATCTAAATTTTTTCCTACTCCTTTTTGAACTACTCATTATTAAACTATTTATCGATTTGAACTACTATCCCGTAAACGTTCGTACGTCTATACAGCAGCTAGATGTAGAACAAAATGTAGTATTTTTAGATTTTGAAACCTAAGTAACGTGATCAGTTCTACAAATTCGATAGAAAACTAATCCAATAGGTTCTTTCCCAACTCTCTAAGTTTTTCTCTTATTTATGTTATCTTGAAATCTATAAATCTCTAAACCAGAGATTCAGGTCAGGTCTCGCTACATCTCTTTTAGATATTTTTATCTTTATATCTATCATATTATTAAACATATATTAAATATTTATATATTTAATTATAGAATATTAAAGAAAAGATTAAAAATAATATTTACATATCTATATATATTTAATATATTTAATATTATCTTTGAATATTTATTTATATTGTAATGTTGACATATTGCGAGATCATTTCTATTACAAAAAATAATACCTATTTACTTATTTTCCCTATTTTTTTTTTACCTATGAGACTGTTGATCCTTGGCACTGTCACCAGCAGCTCCCGATTTTTCAGTCGTATTATCTTCTTCAAGAACCGGAAATGAATCTAGAACAGGAAACTGAGGTCTCGAAAATTTCCGTGGTGGAAGCTGTGGAGCACTAGCAAATTCGGGCAATCTTTCGTTCCAATCAACGTGCAGCAACAGTAGTTCCATTATCCTTATGTAAGCTTTTGTATTGTGTATAATTTGTCTAGAATATAAATGTAAAATGTATAAATAGATATTATGTGTAAATATGAAAAAGATAGTGAGAAAAAATTAATATGAATTACTAATAATTAGGATATTGTGCACACGTATACTCACATGATTCGTTCCCAGGGCGGCCTAATAAATATATGACGAAACACTTGGACAAGTACGGTGGGTGGTTCCGTGTAACCCCTCCCATGTTGCAACTGACATATACGACAAAAGTGAGCCATCAAGTGAAACAATGTACTACGATGATGTTCCGGAAGTTCAGTAACAAGTTGTCCTAAACGGGCAGCACACTGCTCGTCACTTCTCATATCTGAATGAACGAAAATGATTGCATTGTTAATATCATTCCATAAATCGTATATTTCGAAAGCAACATTTAAAGAATACTTACTTGATGCTTCTAGGAACCTGTCATAAAATTGTACCGGTATTACCGGATCTGGTAATTCTTGCAGGAACATTTTCAAAACGCTTGCAATGCATTGAGGAGTATATCGATCTAAATCAGCGTTGTGCACGTCTGTATGGAACAATTTATTTGGAATTTAAATTTCAAGTGTTTTAATAATTCAAAATGATTTTTAAATTGTTCATAGGTCAAAGCTACTAGTATACTTTTACCATTTTTTTTAGATTTTACTAAACTATTTGATCAATACTTAACTTTTCATATTGAAAATAAATTTCTTTACAAATTAAATTTAACGCCGCTTAATGGAGCACTAATTTTATAATCGTTCAATAATAAATGACACACAATGTACAATACATTATTTTATCAATTCTCTCTACTTTTTGTTTTGTAATGTTAATCGTTTTAAAAAATGGATGACTCATTTAAATTCATGAATGACTCATTCAAAGTCCTACCTTCGTCCAAGTTTTGTCGTAACTCAAGGGTTTGCTCGTTAGGTTTACTGCAATAAACTTTGTAGAGATCTAGAGTCGTATCCGCATATGCTCTTTCTTCGAGAAGACGTGTACATCTTTCCACCAAGATCGGAGCAGTACGCGAGGATGTTTCGAATTGTGAACACAAAGCAAGGCCGAATACTAAATAAACAAATAAATATATATCATTTTCATTTTGTACACATATAGATTTATAATAAAAACCAAAATGAATAGCAATATATCACTATGATCTTATATCTTATTTATTTATATCATTTCTTTTCAATCCCCATAACATCTTAATTGACTATTTAAAATATATGATGTATATGTTACGATCGATGTACAGATTCCGGGCATTGTAATCACACAATGACCATTACAATTGAGCAATTTATATTTTGAACATGTTTTCCGTATATTGCCCGGTCAATCTATAGAATGCCCAGAGGGTTTTGATCAATCTATAATATGTGTTTCAGTCGTGTGAATTTAACACGTTCGTCGCCCAATTTTATTTAGCCATGTATTCAGTTATTGGATATCACCCAAATATAGGTAAACGTATTAATGCACGTGGGAAAAGGGTGAAATGATCTTAAGCTCTTGACTTCTAACTGAAACACATGTTATAGATCGACTAAAACTCTCTTGGGTATTCCATAAATTTCCCGGACAATGTATACAATCCTCGTAGTAATACATATATACAACATACGTGTCATAAGTTCTAATTTGTCTAACTATATTTGTTTCTCTATCACATAATTACGATAATAGCAACAAAAAATACTCATTGTATAGGTTTTCATTTCTTTGCTCGCTTGTCGTTGAACCACGAAAAATAAATTTACACGATTGCCAGCGTTCATAAACGCAAATTGGTAATTTCCTATAGAAAGGTAAATGATGAGATAAGAATACTTCGAAGTAAGAACGACTAGTTAAGACTATGTAATATGTTGAATCCGCCGTTATACCGTTATAACGATTAGAAACTCATAGGAGCATGGGAGAAGCTAAAAAAAAATCATCGAATGCTCGTAATCTAATAACGATAGAAAAACGAGGAAAGCGGATCTCCAAATAGGACACTACCAATGCAGAGAAACGTTTTTCTCTTCCTTTATTTATTTCTTTCTTTCTTTCTTATTTGAATTATATCGATACGAGAATGAATCTACAAAAGATTCGTCTTTCTTTACGAGTCTGACGAGAGAGATAAAAAAAAATTATTACGATTTAAAGAGAAAATCACACGCATCAAAGAACAAACCAAATTCTTGTAACAGTGGTAACTAATGAATAATTAATGAACTATTTCGTCAACTTCATAATATTCTTTTTATTCGATTTCGTAAACGAGACATTTCGATTGATGACACAAAATAACAGATTAAGTGAATTATAAGTTAAATCAAGTTTCAACAAAATAGAAAGAAGATTGTTAAAGCACATGTGTGCGTCCCTTGTGCTACGTAATACTATCCTTTACTAGGGACTTATATTACTATACTAAGCATTTGTATTTAATAATGCGTTGAACTTTTCTTTAGGACATGCAATAGGATCAAAAGCATATTGTGTCTATTGTCCATGTTTTAGGATCTTTAACCAAGCCCACAGCTTCTGGAATTTGTCGAACGTACAATAAATAAACACAAGTACACTCCTAGACGAAATAAGCCAAGGGTTACCTATTGTCTGGCACTTATTCTTAAAATATCTTTCTTTAGTTATGTAAAATGCAGTTTCTTTATGCATAGTACCACACATACATTTGTTTAAATATTTCTGAACAATCTATTTACGACTATTAAGAAATCACTCCCTTTATTTCTTTCCGAACACTCATTTTAAAGAAATTCGTGATTTTTTAATATATTTTGTTTAAATAAATATTTATTAATTGTTGTTAAGGATTATTTTATACAGTAACTTCTCCAACATTTTGTTCTTTCTATCTCTGTTGTTTTCAAATACCCTAACGTGATATCAAATACAAATACCATTAAATGAACAAATTATATGAATTACTTACTTGAAAAGAAAATAAATTCCAAGAGACTATTTTTTCATCTATTTATAAAAGGCTTTTAAACTCAACATTTTTGTGGAAGCCAATAATTTCATTTCTTTTTAAATAAATAGATCAGAGGGATAACGAATATATCTTTAAAGAAAAGAAAAGAAAAATGGCAAAATTAATTAAAGATCGTTCTTACATATGCGCAGAAAAAAAATGTGAACAATGTAGTCGAAAGGGGTCGACGTCTCGCGAATAGTATTTTTTTTCTCATATCATGCCCGTGACGTAAACGCAACTGCTACAGAGACTAGGATAATATCTGTCCAGTCTGCGCGATTCTTTATTACCAACATAATTGCTACATTTTTCTTTTTTATTATTATTATTTTTTTTTTTTTCTTCTCCATCTCTTCTTCCTCGTCTTGCAACTTTATTTGCGCATAAAAATGTTGCATTTAAACAAAAAGGTGTTCATATTTTCAAGCGGATTGCAACGACATCAACCGACTTGTCATTGACATCATATATACCACTTGTACAATCAAAGACGTGTATGCTTGCATGCATTGTGCAGAAGTTGAATAAAACGAGAAAGAAACATGAAGTTTAAAGAGGGAAAGAGAAAGAGAGAAAGAAAATAACGAAGAAAAAAGAAGAAAAGGTCAAAATCGAGGAACATGCTATGCGAACAAGACAATATGAATGTGAAGTTAAAGAAGGAAGGCATGTCAGATAGAGGTCAACACGGAAATTTGATATTCGTCACGAATGCCTATCGAGTCTATCACCGATTTTGTCGTAAACGATCGCACGCGCGTGCGCCCGCGCGCGTGTTATGCGAATGACTGCTACTCGTGTCGACTACGAGTAGAATAACACGACTGCTGAATAATTTTAATAGTTTTCGATATATCCGTGTACGTATATATATATATATCCGTGTACTGATGTATATATATATACATCAGTTTGTGTATAATATAAATATGTGCATGTATGTATCAGATCTGTCTACATATGTATGTACACGTATACGTGTTTATATGAATATGTATATATGGATAGATAGATAGATGGTCATCGTTACCTCGGATATAACGAGCGCGCTAGCGATAATTTCATTTTTTAATTGCACTTAGTCACGAATATCTGGAAGCTGCGCTTGAAAATCGCATCGTTCGACGACAGACCGAACATAAGTCATCCAAGCTTCGTATACATATATATATACATACTTTAGTTTTAAATGTAATAAACGGAGCAAGCGAATGATGGTAATCGAATAAAGAAAAAGAACGAAAAGGAAGACAAAAAAAATAAGAAACCGGTAAACATGTTTCCAATGATTCTTCTTTTTTTTTTTTTTTTCTAAACTTCTTTACCGCATAAGATTAAGTTAAATTAATAATGTTAAAGTTAAGTTAATAATGAATTGTAAATTTTTTTTTCATGGCGAATGAGTAACGCACAATGAACCCCTTTTTTTTTTCTCTCTCTAAAAATAGACGCTTTTGATATATCATACCATTCGTTGCAAATGAAAAGAAAGTGTCTATTGAATCGTCGTATATATTATCATTAATTATCGTTATTATTCATTATACAAATTCGCGAAAAGCGAGTATGGCATTATGAATTTTTCTCTTATACTTTTTATAAATATACTTAAGTAACATTCTATCTATAATTTTGAATTTCGAAATTAATCTGTCGTGTAGTTTATTAGAAAAATTCATTTAAAGAAACTTAAATTAATCAATATTCGCAAGAAACTTTCGTAGTTGTTAAACTGAAAATTAAAAACACAATCGAATGCACAGTTCAATTCATTTGAAGAAAAATATTAATGACCTTTATTTAGAGATATTTTATAAAGCTTAAAAATTCAAAAAAGAAAGTTAAACCAATGGGATTATAACAACGATTCTCCCCAATCGGATAAGACAAAAATAATTTTAATCCGGTAAAATAATTATGACTTTAATTTTTATGAAATGCTAAAAGAATACTGCTAATTGACTATTATCCTAAAGGTCATATGATTACTCAAGAATATAACTCTAATCTTCTAAATCGATTAAATTAAACAATTCGAAATAACAGGTCTGACTTATAAAAATACAAAAAATAAATGATAATTTTTTTTGAACAGAATACAAGCTTTACAACTACAACAAAATTTGCTTTCAGATTTGGCTCCCTCAAGCTAAACTTGCTCCTACAGAGCTTCTTTTATATCATATTAAAAAATAGAAGCAATTGAAAATTAAATATTAACGTTTTAATATTAAAGCGGAAAATTTTTTAAACTACTCTCATTTTTTTAAGAATCAAACTGCAAGAGGGTTCAATACTTTAACACGTATAAATATACAATCGTTCGAAGTACCTGTTTTAAACATACACATTTACATATTTATCTATATTTCATTAAATTCCTAAGAGCATAAATTGCCAGTAATTTCTACGCGTGTATGCGATCAAAGGATGACAACGTCAAACAAGATCATTGTGCTTGCTTCGTTGAGTTTAACGATCAGGCTCGGCTACTCTATCATTTGCTTGTTCCCCGCATTTTGCATGTGTTCGGTAAGCTTTTCACGGAAAAATTTACCAAGACGAGAATAGTTTATTCGTTACTTTTATTTTTTTTTTTCTTCTTTTTTTTTTATGGAATAACGTTGAACTTGCAGTGAATGCATGCGTACGTCTGTACATAGATAGCATATGTATACTTGTATATGAATGTGTAACTGCGCGATTTCTATCGTTGCTACATTAATGGATATATGTCGTTCGGTGAATAAATTTCAAAGTAAAATTACGAGATCTAACGTGTATGTGGATATGTTTCACATAAATATAAATATATATATGTATCCATATATATACACACACATACGTACATATCCTCTGTAAAATCGTTAATATTTGTTTGATAGTATTCGCTAGAACGCATTTAAAGGGGCGAGGTTATTATTACAATGAATATCAATGTGAGAGACACTATATACGACAATAAACCGATACCGATCGGAAGCCATTGTAAATTCTAACAATACACCACTATGGTTCTAATTTATACTCATTTTTATAACGAGATGTAACGTACTTGAGAAAGGTGTCCTTGCCATAAACTTCATAACTCTTCTATCGCGGCACTGACTTAAACGCTAACTAACACGTTCCTGGCGTAATATCTTGGATAATCGGCGGAACGATATATTTGAATTTTTTTAATAATTTCCGTATACATGTATATCCCATTTGATTAAATGAACTGACAAAAAAGCAAAATAACTCGCTCATTTGTTCGCGCTTGGCAATAGACGGAATCGCGTGTCTGGCGCGTAAGCGAAAAGTTTCAAAGTTAACTCACCGGAAGCATATCTATTGCTACGGTTTTTCGACTCAGCGGGGACGCAGCTTATGGGCAGACCAATTGCCGAGCACGTTCTGTGAGTTACCAGGCCGCAATCTGTCGAAAAAAGGAAAGAAAAAAAACACGCCATTTTTATTTCTGCTTACACGAAATAAAAAACAATCCTGGCTAGTCAAATGGAATGGATATTGAACGCGTTCTCTACTATTATAAGTTACTTTCTCATATATCTTACAATATGTTCCGTATTCGTGAATAATTAATAAAATAATGATTAAAAAAAAAAAGAAGAAAACCTAAACATTTTACAGATTAATTAATCAAATGCTTTTTATAAGAATCACATATGTATTGCAAATATAATTACACGTTGAAAAATTCATAATCATCGTGAAAGCGCTAATATTAGTAAAAATATTCATTCGATAAAACATAACTATTATATTTGCCGTAAATCTCTATAAATAATGAATCCTAATTACTAAGCATGAGACTTTGTAAACGATTAGAATAAAATGAAGGTAAATGATACGCGTAACGAATAATTAAATCCAAATACAAATGTGACTTCTCATTTTCCTATATAATTATAATAGAATAAATTATAGTGTAATAAAAACTTTTATTGCATAACAAGTATAATCAAAATAGAACAATGTTAAGAACAACGCTTTGTCAAAAATTCTAATTTTAGCGGATAAACGTAAAAAAAAAAAGAAGAAGGAGATTTGTTACCTTGGCAAAGGAAACCTTGATGCAAGAGACCCCTGAGATATTTACGACACTTGTCACACTTTTCCAAAATACTGAAGCTATGCAAGACAAGATTATGACTATCGTTGGTTGTATTGTTGGGCGAATGGGCGAGGCCAATACCACAGCTCGCATTGACGGTGCTACTACCGGTTGCAACTGATGTCAGTGTTGTTGTTGTTGTTGTTGTTGTTGTTGTCGATGGCACCGTCGTCGTGCTGGTCGTTGTGCTGGTGGTCGTGCTGGTCGTCGTGCTCGTCGTCGTGCTCGTTGTCGTGGAAGATGTATTCGCGTCCGTGCTACCAGGCAACGAGAGGGGAGTCGACGTCTGGCAGAGTTCCTCGATACACACCAAAAGGATCTTCTGGTCGAGCTCATCTTTTATACCCATATGCTGTAATAAACAAGTCGGAAGATCAGAAAGTCAGCTAAATAACCGATCGATTTCGAATCCAAAAACATCTGCTCGAACGATTAATTTCATTACATAGCTGAACCATCGCTATGTTCTTACATAACTATATATATATATATAATGTAATATATATATGTATATAATGTATTATATGGTAACATATATAGGGTTACCATATAATTTAATCTTCTTTCAAATTGACTTTGAAAGAAAGAAATAAAGGGAAGAAGAATCTTGTCAAACTTTTTCCTATCTGTATTCTTGTTTAATTTTTTTTTTGTTTTTACAAAATATATGAAAATAAATAATTTCAGTAGAAAAGATTGTCACTGATCGATGAAAATAGAAAACCAACCCTCGATTGGTAAAATATTACACCCTTACCTGTCAATATGATCATGTTATTTCATCGAAAGAGTACTACTACTACTACTATATCGAATAACACAGTCTATATATTCATATTCGAAGCGATACCGAGAGAAAACAAACTATTTACGGAGCATTATAAATTATGAAAAAAAAAAAAAAAGAAGAAAAAAAAAGGACACGTATGGGAATAAAAAGAGAATAGTTCACGGTTTGACGTATTACTCGAATATTCATTGAAAACCGAAGCCACGTTGGAAGGATGTATTACTACGTCTGTCTCGTAAAAGAGAAGTAGGAGAACTAAAAAGAGGGGGTTGGAGAAATAAAAGTAGAAGTGAATTGAACACGTTAGAAAGAGAAAGACATTAAAGCGACAAAGTTTTTAAACTGGTGGCGGCGGGTGCGGGCGATGCGCTCATAAAAAGTCGAATGAGAAAGCGTAATTTATGTGCTACGTTACGCTAACTCCCGACTGACATCTCCTTCCCCGAGCGATTAGAGCAGTTGCTGCTCCTACGACGGCGAGTCAACAGGTGTCAGTTACCACGTAGATATACGAGAAATGCAGCATAATACCCCCCTACTGCATTTCACAGAGACTCGAGTGCGCTCGCTCACTCACTCACTCGTCCGATTAAATTAACGGCTTTGAACTGCTCATGCCCATCCAGAAACTACTCAAAATGGAATTAAAAATATTCTTTTAAAAGCAAGTAGTGTCACTGTACCCAAGTTAACGGGAATAACCGAGAAACCAACCCTTCCTTTAAAATCTTCCTTTTTTCTCTCTCTCTCTCTTTCTTTTTCATAAGTAATCGAAAGAAACCCACAAAGGCATTGTAAAGAACTTATTAGAAAATTTTTATAAATTTGTATTTTACGAATAATGATATATACGTTATTTATGAATATTTTTTATTACAGTTTTTTTTTTCTTTTTTTAATCGGAAATAGTTTTATTTAATATATCAATATACGAAAATTACTTGTAATTATATTTAAATATGTCGATATTAAGTATTAACAAGTAACGAAACATTTGTAAACCTAAATTTTTATTTAAATTTGTTGTCTATTTCAATTATGCAATGCCCCCACAACTTCTCTCTCTCTCTCTCTTTCTCTCTTTCTTTCTCTTGCTTTTGTTCGCACGAAAATACTTGAGTTCACGTTTATCCGAGACAGTGTGTAACGATTATTGCGCGAATCGTGATGTACACGTGCGCTATTTTAAAATACATCGGGTTAAGCGCGTAATTCTCTCTCACTCTCCCCGTTTCTCCTCTCTTTCTTTCTTTCTTTCTCTCTCTCTCTCGGCGCTAGGACGAAGATTGGGCCAAACGCTATTATTAGTTGAACGTGGCAAAAGTAAGGATCGATATATTACGCATATTCACACGAGAGCATAGCAATAAAATTTAACGCTGGCGTTAGTTTATTTTACGTTTGATCTACAGCAAAAAAAAAAAGAAAAAAGAAAGAGAAAGATTGGAAGGAGAAAAAGAAAGGAAGATAGAGAAAGAATAAAAAAAAGATTAGAGTTACTGTGTATGCACGTCTCTACGTACAAAGTTCAAACTCTAAAAAAGAAAAAGAAAAAAAAAAAAAAGAAAAAGAGTTAAGAATAAAGAAAAGAACGCTAAGTCAAGAGAATGTTTTATATTCGTTTGAGACAACGCATGGTAAGTTTTTTCAAGTATTATATTAAAAAACATAACACGCTACTCGGATGATTTAGAGTCTCGTATCTTCGACCGATAACTCTTTACGACGGTCGAATCGATCGATTTTAGAATTCGTTTAAATTCACAGAAAACCTAGCGCGTTGTCCTCACATAGGCCGAAAGGAAAACCTTCACGAGTAGAGGAAGTTTTACGAATCGAATAGCATTATAATACACGTATTATACGCGACGGAACTTAACTAAAAAAAGTTACAAAGATTTTGTCCTTGTTATCCTTGTTCTTACAAAATCCTTTCGTGGTATGCAATTCGAGAATACGAAAAAATCGCACAAAACACACAATATTTCTTCTGCAATGGGAACAAAAAAAGGATCGTTTGCAAATTTTCTCGTTTACGGTAAACTTTGTTTTTTTTTGTCCTAAAAGAAAAATATAATGAAATATTATTTTGTAAAATCGACGACGAAGGATCGAAGAAAAGGACAGAAGATCGCATAGAATACTTTTAATTTATCTGGATAAGTTACGATTCATTCTGACAACTCTTCTAACATAAGAGAGACGTGAATGCGCTTATTAGAAAGCGCATGCGTGTTTTACACAATAAAACGCTCGATTGCACGACGAACGCAATAGGTATCGGTCGTTTTATCACATTAATTTATATTTTCAATAAAATTTCTGCTACAACGCTAATTAGTATACCTATTATCCTGTTTACTTTATCCATTTTAATTAATGTTCTTAACTTTTCTTCTTTCAGTACCTTCTGAGAGCTCGGTCTCTTCAACTTAGCTTGGTTTTCTGCTATTTGCCAATTCAATTCCCCCTTCTCATTTTCAACTCAATTCCTATTCTTTCTTTCTTTCTTTCTTTAATTGCCGTAAGTAGTTGCCTCCTCCTAATTAGACGACGACGACGACGACGACGACGACGACGAGGAGTATAGGCCAAGTAGTGGAAGTAGAACCGCCGAGAGTAAATCTTTTTTCACGCGCAATACGGAGGAGTCTGAAAGGCCGCATGAGCCTCGAAGCCACCTAAGCGAGAGACTCATTATGATTATGATAATGTCGACGACGATAGGAACGAGCGTATGTACGTAAGTACGTAATGCATACTATATATACTGGTATATATATATATATATACATATCGTCGTTATTGTATGTATATATTGAAGTTGAATCGTTGCACGAACGTCGAAGAAGGTCCGATTCGATGAATACGTATGTATGTATATGCTTTCTATGTAAAGCGTGTCTAGCTCGTCTAACGTCTAGCTCGATCTAGGAATATTCATTCGATTTTAATTTACGACTACGTCACGTGGTTATATGCCGAGTTGCAACTTTTCTTTTCTTTTCTTTTTTTTTTCTTTATCGTTGTTATTATTATTACTTTTCTTCTCCATCGCTTTATTTTCATTAAATTTTCATTTTCTTGCAAAAAAAAACTGTAAAAGAAAATGATCTTATTGATGGACGAAAATTCCAAGGAGTAACGTAAATATTAAAGAAGAAGAATAAAAAAAGACGGGAAGATAAGGCACGCGCGACTGGGCAATAAAAGCAAATGAAGAAAAGGAAGAATCGATAAAGTATCTCCACCGTGTGGTCCAAGCCAGACGTTCCATGGCAATTACAAGGCCAACGGGCCAAGGAAAACCGTCGTCCAGATAATAGTATTCGCTTCTAGGTCATCGCCTTTGCTCTACCAACCAAAGAATTTTCGATCTTTACGAAGCCGTTCTGATCGACCATTTTTTTTTTCTTACTCAAACCTATCCCTGTCCTACCTACCCTTCTCTTTAACTCCTAATATTTCTAGGTCGCTCATTTAACTTTCATTAGCGTGCATTTCTGTATTTTTCGTGTCGTTAAATACGCGTACGTGAAGCGTAAGCCGCGATTAAACTGATAAACATTGCGGGTGTCCAACGCAGATTAAAATAATTATATCGATAGGTAGGTATATATAAATACGTAAATCGATTATCATAGAAAACATTGATATGACTTACCATGAGTTTGTCTCGATCCAGATGCCGGAGATCGCTGCCTTTGATATCTTTAGACTTGAAAATATCCGCATAGCTGTAGAGATTTAACGCTGACATCCACTCGAGTACGTCTAACGATGTCCATTCACTGACGGGCTAAAAACAAAAGATAAGAGAATTCGGCTTGAATGATAATATAATTGCTACTACTAAATTGCAATGGAGATCGATCGCAATCCGATCGTTCGTAAAAATACAACCGATTCGTTGTCTCATTTCAATAAATAAAAGAAAGAAAGAGAGATAGAAGAAACGTAAATGATAACAAACACTATTCGTAAAGACTGATTTGAATTGAAAAAATGACAATTCTAAATAACGATAATGATTGAAATCGATCGAGCCACGCCAACCATATCGAAATAAACTACGTAAGGAATACAATGTATGTAAAAACGTATATAAAATAATGCAAGCGAAAATTCTGGAGGTTATCGTATCGCGGATGTCAATTCAATCGTGTTATTCAACGACTCCTCCATATTCATAATTGCACATAACTTTGAAAATGCACATTTAAGCTCGCGAACTTATTCCTCGATTCCGAAGATAATGCGATGAGTATAACACATCCGCTCCGGAACGAAGAATATGCTCGTAACTTTAACCACACGACCGAAGACAGATTAGATAAGTATAGGCTGCCGTGGCAGCTTTGGCGTGAAAGACATCGTATATACATAAGTAGTATATACGTGCATATATTCATATACCTGGGTGCGTGCTTGTACTATTACATGTGTGTATGTATATATGTATGTGCACAATGGTGCGAGCGAAATATTGAAAAAAACTCGACTTATCGAATGCTCAAAAAATGAGCGCATGAAAAAAAAAAGAGAAAGACAGAAAGGAAAAGAGAAAGAGAGAGAAAGAGAGAGAAAGAGAAAGAACGAAACCTTCTCTTACTTATAACCTTAAGTGTATAATCGTGACGACACCAACGAGATAACACATTCAACGTCTTCTTCTTCTTTTCTTCTTCTTTTTCTGCTACTTGTACATCTCTTTCTTATTCTTACTTTACTACTTACTCCTTGTTTCCGCAAGAAGGAGAAAGAAACAGATTATAATTATTTTTAAAAAAATTCTACATAAATTTTCATAGATCAAAATTTTTACGCGAATTATACAACCGGTAAAAACGTTAATTTCTGAATATAAAAACTACGAAGAGTGATAAAAGAAAAAATCTGTTGTTCATTTTTTGTCTCCTCATTCGCGAAACTAAACATGGTTCTTATCGAAACGTTTCATAAATTTCTCCGGGATCTACCAATTTTTTTTTTGTATTTTTTACATATAGTCGAAAGGAATATTTATTTCACAATAAAATTTTAATAATCGATATACCAACGAAAAAGTCTTTTTTTACCTTCTACTTCGAAGTTTATTACTAATGCGTTTCCAATTTATCCGCTTCGTGCGATTTTGCATTAATACATGCACCTACATATTTAATTATAATTTTAAACAGGATATCGTTCAATATTTAAAAACAATTTCAAGGCTTAACTATAAAAAAAATGATAAATATATTACGTGTACGCTATTTAATGTTATTTTTGAGTTGTAATCGTATTATTTTGAAAAAATAAAAAATTGCATCTCCCTTGAAAAAATAATAAGACGTTTCACATATCTGTCAAAGTTCAAATACCTTAAACAGTGATATATTAATCTTAAGTTATAATAAGAACTTTCATTACACATTTGTATCAGTATTTAATCCTTTGAAATCGATTTTACATAAATACATACAACAGCCTGTATATCGCAAAACTCGTGATCACAGCCGATTAAAAAGGCGTCGGCGTTATTTCCTCGGCACTTCGCTTTTACCCAGATAGATTTAGGTCGTTACGCCATCGGGCTCAAGCAGGTTTCGCTCTAATAACAAAATGTCGCTTGTGTGTCTGAGAGCGTATTAAAGCCGACTTAGAAATCAAGGGGGGCCTAACGTTAAGATGGGTTTTCGTCACTAACTAAAATACACCCATAATAATGCAAATCGCTCGATTCACTTGCCACTGATAATTTATCTCTCCTTTTCTCACCCTTTTTGTATTTTTCTCCCTTTCTCCGTGTTATTCTTTCATCCTTTTTCTGTCACATTCTTACCACAGCTCTTCAACTTTAACGATCAATTGTTATACTGTGTATTCATTTAATTTCTATTTCTTTAGACACATATATGTTATCTATTCACCTTATTATTCTATATAATTTGTACTATGATCAAAGAATTTGTTTTTATTACAAAAAAATCTAATTCATATTCATTATAATAGTTAACAGTTTATTTTTTACTTGTAATATTTATATTATCTATCGCGTGATATTTCTATTAAAAGCTCAATAAATCTATCTAGTAAATTATACTTGAATTAATCGTTGTGAATGTATAGGTGCCGACAATTGAAAAAATAATGATTTCAAAGAGTTCACAAACGAGGAACGGATCGATCGATCGTCTTACATTTGTGAGAGTGCTGTCAAGAGTTGTTCGACTCTGAACAATTTAATTAAAACATTACCGTTTCCTTCGATCCGCAGTTATCTCTAATAAGAAATATGAAACAATGGGCAGCTGATAAGAATGATAGAGAAAGAGAATAAAGAAAGGAAGATGGTATAACAAAGAGATGAATTTGAAGTTCTCATTTTTATCCACGGTGCGAATCGAATTGTTGCAAAAACAGTAAGACGCTCGAATTATTACGCTTTCTTGAACATTGAGTTTGAGAGGCATTGGTCGATATGATTTTTAACCCTTTGAGTATTAGCAAACAATATAATCTTTTTCCAAGAAAAATTTTATAAATATCAAAGATTAATTTTTAAATGTCTCAAATAATTGTCCCCCAAAAAAAACCCAAAGAAATTTATTCTCAAGTATTACAATTATTCTACCGAAAGACTATAACTTTTTTTATGAAATACCGATGAAACAAAAAAAACAAAAAAAAAAAAAGCAATAATAAAATGCTAGATTTAAAGCGATAGAATTTCAATGTACCAATTTACAAAGGACAAAGTAATATATTGGCCCTTGACGCTAAAAGGATTAAAAAGGGTTAAAGTATATTAGGTAAGAATAGGATATACTGACCTTGTCCTCATAAAAAATTTGACCGGGCAGCGCGTGACCCTTGTTACTCCATTGGCACAGGTGTTGTCCGCTGTAGACCGAACAGACGATGTGGAAGCACGCGCGGCAGTCTGCGGGACAGAGCGAAGCACACATGCAGCAACACGCGGACAATCTTCCAAGTGGCACCCTCGAGGCAGGGAACGTCCGCGCCTCGAGGATACTATACAGGTTTTTGCCCTTTGACAAGCGAGCAGTTTTATCGGTTGACAAATTAGATCCAACAATCGCATCGTTCATGAGCCGATTCGAATCTACGGTAACAGTGCTCTCGATCTCCCACGATTCTTTACTCGACTGAGGAAATTGCTGTTGTTGCCGCGAGTGAACAGCACCAGCATCGTTGCACCTACATACATATCGATGAAAGGAAAACACTCGGGCACAACACGGTAAACTCGTCGACTTGTTATCAATATCAATATCATTATCGCGTTTATCGTCGTTATTACATGCACGCAAAAATTGTTGCTGTTGTTGACAATCAAATTTGTTGTTGCCATTATTGGAACTGTTCAACAAGCAACGAGATTGTTGTGCTTGTAAATGATTAGCGAACCACTTTTGCGGGGTGAATTGATTCGTGTTAGCAGAAGTCACCCCCCCTGTTGTTTTAAGTCTCGATTCAAACGATTTCTGTTGCTGTTGTTGTTGCTGCTGTCTCGTCTCGTTGTTGTTATTATAACCAAGAATTGAATGCATTTGCAAATCGTTATAAGTTCCACTTGCAGGAGCGTTTGTTAAAAAAGTTCGCGTTACACGAGAACAACCGACAGTTTCTATGGACGATGACGTTGTCGACGTCGTCGTCGTGGGAGCTGTCATCGTAGTTGGGTTAGACGAGGAGACTCCGTTAGTACTCCCCGCACCCTTCCTAAGCATATAATTGTCCGAATCAACAGCCAACAGCCGTGGCATGGCCGACGACTTAGCTTTCGCTTCATCCTTCGACGTCACCGTAATGGATGACGATGACGCTGTAACTAACGATTTAACACCTCCAATACCCTTCAATACAGTAACTTCTTCCTCCGTACGAGCATTCGATGGGTTAAGGAGAAGATCGTGTATCTTCCCCTGAAGCGCGACTACCGGTTGTTGTACCTGCGACGCGCAGGCCGCGGTAGCGCTCGTCCCTCGCTTCATCGCCAAAATCACTCGAGATCATCAAAACTTTCCTATATTTTTATGCACTTTCTTACACTATCCTCTTATTAGATATCCTTCAATTTCTTTAGTTCCTTGTCTCTCTCTCTCTAACTCTCTCTGGGATAATGTAGCAAGGACTAGGTCTCGTAAAGCACTATCGCAAGCAGCAACGAGCAATCCCTCCGTTCTTTCCACTCCAAGAGGACAGCTTCACTTTCTTCGAATTCGGCCATTTCGCTTTTCTCGCTCCTCAATCCTCGTTGATTTTCTCCCTGAAAGTATAAGAATCCATTGGAGACTATGACGTTTCCATCGATGCTAACTCCACCAGTTCCTCTTGAACGTTCTCCCAGAACGGAATCGTATCTTTTCGGTTTTAGCGTCGAACACATCAGCCTCATAACGATTTAAGACGAACCTTCTTTGGATTCGTTCAACGGGTATCACTACTGAAGCAAGAAGAAAGAGTTCGTCGATCCTTTCTCAAAGTTTATTATCTCTTTCTCTTTCATTCTCTCTATCTCTCTGTCTCTCTCTCTATCTCTCTCTCTCTGTCTCTCTCCTTCTCTTCCGTGCTCCGAAGGACACCTGGGTCCTTGTTATCTTTCTTTCTTTTACTTGTATCTTTAGGTTGTTCAGATTCAACCGATTCTATTGACGAGGCGCTCAATCGGAAACGCGTGGCGCCTTTTTACCGTGATCGTTACGTTAGCGCCGTTGTTATAATTAATAAAGAGAAGTGGAAATATAAACGTGCCAATGTATAAAAATGATAGAGAGAAAAAGAGAGAAGGAAGGAGGGAGGCGGAGGAGGAGGTGGAGGAGAAGGGAGGGAGGGAGGTAGAGAGAAAGGGAGGAAGGAAGGAAGAGAGAGCGAGCGAAAGAGAGCCGCTCCCGTGGGTGTGACCTCGTGTAAATTCGTTTTCCATAAATCTCACTCCTACCGCTCTCTCACGAGTGAGCACACACGACCTTTGTATAAACGCCGAGATTTGCCGAGCCGAACAAAACCGGTTCTGTCAAGCAACGACACCGAGCGATTTTCAACGTAGTCCCACGAGTACACCACACTCGTAGTGCCAAGAAAGCGAGGAGAGAGACAGAGAGACGGGAAGGGAAGAGACTCAAAAAAAAAAGAGAGAGAGAGAGAGAGAGAGAGCGAGAGAGAGAGAGAAAGAGAGAGAGAGAGAGAGAGAGCGAGAGAGAGAGAGAGAGAGAGAGAGAGAGAGAGAGAGCGAGAGAGAGAGAAAAAGTGATCCGCGTGGTTGGCTTATCGAACGCGATTCAAAATCGTCGAAGGACCCTCTTTCTTCTCTCTCACTTATCGTCTTTTCTATTTCTCTTTTTCTCTTTTTCTCTCTCTCTCTCTCTGTTGCCCCGCTCTCTTCTCTTCTTCGATAAGCACGAATCTCCTCTACGAGACGAGGGCGCTTCTTCTCCTCTTCCTCTCGATCTCATACGCTCCTACTCTACGCAAATGATCGCCCCACCGCTAAATCGATCTATCGTCAATCAGTACTCTATTCCGAAAAATCAAAGAGTTTCGACGATTCTATCTTTTTTCTTGCTTTCTTTCTTTCTTTCTTGATTTATTTATTTATTTATTTATTTCTCTCTCTCTTTCCTTCTTACCTAGGTACACTCTGCTATTCCGTATATTCTTGTATTCCAAACGATAGATATAAATTTCTCGTGCTAACGTTGAACTAGCGAACGAATTTCTTAAACGAAACGTGTTTCCGTGTCGTCGACGAGAGAATAAATCGCTTCCGCCGACTCGAGACTTGGTAGCACACGATCTTCGATCCACTCTTCTTTTAACTTCTTTTAGCTTCTTATTCTTATTCTTATTCTGTTGCTATTTTTTCTTTTTTTTCTTACTTTCTATTTCTTTCAGTTTTATTTTTCCCGTGTAAAGTAAAAACGATTAAACTGTTCCTTCTTACGTGTGTGGTTTTTATAGAATTAAATATCAGTGAAAAATTGTAAGAATCACGCGCAAGAAGACAGTCTCTCTGTAACTGTTATCACGTTAAGCGCGAATTCGCGACTGATTGGTTGCGACCGGCTCCCTCAATAGCCTCTGTCCGTTTTCCATCTTTCCTCCACTGCGTGGCACCGCACGTGACACTGTTTTACCGACTGACGTATTACCTTCTTCTACTCCCCTCATATTTAAAATACTACGTCGGTAAAGAAGAATTCATACACCGGATGAGAATTTTGTCGACCTCATTCACATTTTCATTTTTTCTTTTTCTTTTTTTTTTCTTTTCTTTTCTATTTTTCCTACTCCTTTACGTACCGTCTTTTAAAAAAATCCGCGCGTTAGTATAAATAAATAATCGTACAAAAATGTTTATTACAGTCTAGAGTTTCTAACTTTCTTTTTCTTAGTCTTTTCGTAAAATGTTCCGTTGAAATCGAGACTATTCCACATCGATTCTACTGTACCGTCATGGTTCTTCGATTTTCGACGAGGCCACACGAGGAATACGACATATCCCTACTAGACTAGTGCTAATACTACTACTACTACTACTACTCTTCTTTCTTCTCCTCTTCCTCCTCTTCCTCCTTTTACGGAGGAAACCTCCACGATTCTTCTTCCGGCGCGAGAGGAGTGTAGTTACCGAATGAGTATCTCCCTACTTTTCTCCTTCCTCCTTCTTCTCCGCAACCACCTCCTCACACCTCCTCCTCACACCTCCTCACCATCAACTCTCCCTCGTCACTGTCCTCGTCACCGTCCTCGTCGTGTTCGTGTGTTCTCTCTTTCGTCTTGTGGACGAAACTCATATCAAGCGCGAAATAACGTACAGTTCGTGAGCCACCGGATGGAAAAGTCCACTGGGCAATGCACTTTTTGTACCGCACACCTGCACGCGCGAGCTCTGTACACACTTTATTACTTGCTCGTATGCAACAGCGACGCGGACGATCGCCTATCTCTCCTTCTCTTTCTCTCTCTCTCTTTTCTTCTTCTTCTTTCTCTTTCTTTTTCTTTTTCTACTATACTTGCGCTCGATCTCTTTTTCTCTGCCGCTTCAAAGTCGTCGTTTCTTGTCTTCTTTATAAACCTCTTTCGATGAAGAGCTTCGTAGCTATTCTCGTAGCAACTGTACGAATGTCTTTTTCTTTTTTTCTTTTTTTCTTAATAGAAAAAGACCAAGAAGATCCGGGAAAAAATATCTCCCATTCGAATCCTTTTACTTCCTCGTATCGTTTTTTTTTGTTCAATCGTAGGAATGAAATCAGAAGTCTCCTCTCGTTTGACAATCACATAGATCCTTTTCTTCCTGAACGCTTCCTCTTGATACGACTTCTTCTTCTACTTCTGGTCGGTTGTGTTCTAATTGTATAAAGGCTATAACGAGGTAGTGGTGGTGACGGTTGGTCCACCTCGTAGAAAAATGAGAATTATGCCGATGGAAGTGAATTTCTTCAAATGGAATATATCTCCAGTTCAGTATTTCACATTAACAACGGCAACGACAACGACAACGGCAACGACAACGACAGCGACAGCGGCACAGTGCACAGCTGACCGGCCGGTCTGTCAAGTTCGGTCAATAGCCATAACCGGAGCTAGAGGCAGTCGTGACGGCTCTCTCGCCGACGAGCCGAACCTCCTGCTCAATCGTCGGCGCTCGGCTTCGCCCCTTTTCGTTCACGTTCGGCCCTTTTCGTAGCCTTTAACGCTACGAAACCCAGGGCCGTCTTGCTTCGTCTCTGTGCCCCACCTTTCATTTTCTACCCTATCTTCACTCTATTCCATTTTTGTTTCTTCTTTCTTTTTTTCTTTCTTTCTTTCTTTATCTTTATATAACTCTGTACTATCCGTCTCTCCACTAGGAAAAGATCGAAACTTCGAATAAAAACAGGCAAAGAAATAGAAATATTAATTAGATTTATATGCGCGTATTTAATTCATCGTTGATTAAATTATAATCTTCAATGTTATATAATATATTTGACGAGATTAAAATTGTTTAATAAAAATTTATCGAATAATCGTGAGAGATCGTTGGTCCGAGCACATATGTAATAAGAAACTTGGACATAAATGAAAAGACAGCTTAAAACGTCTGTCTTAGTTCTTTAATTATACTGATAAATTTAATCACTTATTATTAATTCAATCCTTGAAATAATTTCGTTCGTGTCAAAGGTCCATAGATAGGGATCGATATATCAATGGATCTCGCCGCGGTAAATTCACAAGATTTATATATATATATATATGTATATATATAAGAAAAAAGAAAATTCAACAAATTAAATTTCAAACAGCATACCAAAATCTGAATATCTCCTCGATCGGTCAACAACGTGTGTCAGGAAGGCGATATCGGAAACTAATCTTTCGTCGACGTCTACTACTAACCAAGAGAACGTTCGAACAAAGAGAAAGGGAAGAAGAAGCTTTAAGGAAGACGATTTTACGAACTAAAAGTACTCTCCTCTCTTACTTGAAAAAAGTACCTATATATGCATTATTACTATATATAATATGCACAATCGCCGTTTACGTTAAGTGGCCGATTTTAAATGCAACATTTAGGGAGACGATGAGAAGAAAAAATATAAGAAGATGATGAAAAAGTCGAGACATCAACGAACGAACGGTGTGTCTCAAGGAGTATTTTCTACGCGAAAAATCGCTACCACGGTCTTCCTCCTTTCCGTCCTTTTCCTTCGCGTTATACCACACTACGGTAGTCGTTAATATACCGGTAGTAGCGCAGGTGTGAGCTCTCTTTTACGATCGAGCTTTTTACTCTTCTCGCTCTTATCGTAAAGTGCTCTCTCTTACAGAAGAACTTGCTTCTTCACCCTTTTCGTCTCGTATCCACGCATACGACGTCATCATCATCATCACCATCATCATCATCATCATCATAATAATCGTCATTATCCTTTTCATCATCGTAGTCGTCAATGACGTCAACAACAATGACGCCAAAATCGTCAAGAAAGAAGAAGTTCTCTAACCCACGAAATTCAATGGCGTGTGGATCGTTTAAGGGTCGGCTTAAAGGAAGGGATGTGAAAGTGAAAAGCGGCTTTCCAACGTATAGCGTGTTTGCTCGGCAACGGGGTTGGGAGATCGTAGAAAGGGTCTGCGAACGTGGGATGATCGAATCTAGTCGCACGCATGCGTACTACTGGGAGAGCTTCCTGTTCAAGGTCACAGTCCCGCTAGTACGCATACGCGTCGCCCTGCGCTATCGCCATTGTTTAACTTTCTTTCTTTCTTTCTTTTCGTTTTTTTATTTTTCTTCATTATTATCGAAACTCTAAAAAAAAAATGTTCTCGAATTATATGGTATTGCAACTTTGTATGTGTTTAAGTGTATTGCATAGATTTTCATTAATAATCTTCAATCATAATAGAATAAAATTTGTAAAATATAATAATTTCAAAACTAAAAACGATTTTTAAAGAAAAATACCATATGATTGATTTTTAATTATAAGAAGCATCGATCGTCTGGTGAGATTTTCAAAATAAACGCTACTATATTTATTTATTTATAGGTGAAATAAAACAGAGAATTTCAGTTGCAGAAATATACACAGCATTGAATGATATTGTTAATCTTCTAAGAAAACGAATGCTCGTTTATAAGCTTATCGTCGGAATGTTAACAAAGTAAAAACATAGATACGTAAATTTGGCATTTGGTTATAGAAAATTGGTCGTATTCTTCGACACGTGTAGGAATGACGGTATATTATGTCGTAATCGCTTTTCTCCGCTACTTGAACGATACGATCTGGTATATAAAGAATACTCTTCACGTGCAGAAAGTATAGCAACGAGAAGCTGCTACTTTTATAGATCCACGAAAAGACAGAGAAAGCGGTTAGCGAGAAGCGGTTTAAACGCTCGTATCTTTCTCCACCCGATACTTTCGTCTACTGCTCCTCTCCTTCTCTTTACACTCAGTAAGAGAAGATACTTTTCGTACGGTGAAAAGCAATAATATCAAATGGTAGGATAACCCTTACATTTCATTTCAATTTTTTCATTTGCACATTTACATATATTATTTTAAATCGTCGTTTCTATCTTATATTCAATTAATATTACTAACATAACCCTGTGACCTTTGAATGTATGCAAAATATGATTTTCATCTTCAAGATTGGTCTCCTGACCAAACTTTATTAGTATAAATATAAAATAAAATTTTTCTCTCCCGTTCTTTCGAGAAAGAATGTTTTTTTTTATTTTCAAATAAATTTTACTACTAAATGGGTACATAAACTATCCTATAAAACTGGTTATCAATGAGAAATAAACCAAAAGTCGAGAAACATAATCGCAATTCAAGAGCGTGTCCTCTTCTCCTCTATCGAAGACATGCTATATATGAAGGCGATTGCGTTGACGCGTTTTGAATTTTATTTTTGTATCAAAAGTATATGTATATGTATATATATACATAACGTATGCATATATATATATACATACGCAAGATTGCACATCTACGTTCGCGATCGTGTTCGGAAAGACAAAAAAGGAAACAACGTCGTATAACAGCTCTTCCTCGTCGTCGTCTCGAACAAATGATCGAACGACGATCATTCGGGAATTGTTGATTCTATGTTCGGGTCGATTGCTCGATCTATCGATCGATTGATCGTTCTCGTCACGCCCGAACACGTGCACGCACGTATAGAAGGAGGGGAACTACAAAAGAAACATTGTCGCCTCAATTCTACTTCTCCTTCCTTTTTCCGTCCTTCAACAACGTCTCAAACCTTATCTTTGTCTCCCTCTGTAAAGTTAACGTCATATCTGCACTGTATCGTTGAGAACAAAAATTTCAAGTCTTTTTCTATCGCAAAGAAATAAAAAAGAGAAAAAAAAGAGAGGACAAGTTGATAATTAACATATCTTCAACGTTTGTGAAAGAAATTTTACTATAATTTTAAATAAATTTACTCTATTTTATGTGATATTGAAATAAAGTTATAATAGTTTGGATTAGATTTTCATTTAAACAAATGTTTGATCTGTTTGTATAAATTACAATTTTTAATATGTCAAAAAAGAAAAAGAGAAGAAGTATAGACTCTTGTCATTTTATAAATATGTATAATAAACGAGTCATATAAAAAGTGTATTATGATATCGATTGGTATTCGTGAAAAATAAAATCGAAACTCGAGCATCCGTTTAACTTTCTCCATTTAGTTAACTTTCCAATCATTATCGTGTCCATTGTTACGGTGATTAAAACATAGTATAATAACCTTTACATGTATTCATACATATGTAATATAGAACGTACACGTTATATTCATTGCGTTACGATCGATCTTAAATCGAACTTGAATTTTAGCTATCAATAAGAATTTCGTATGATTACTCGGGGTGTATAAGTATTTGCACAAGTCCAGATGCTTCAGTTAGAGATTAAATACAGCGAACATGCCAATGATACGCTCGGCTTCATATTTTTTCTATTATGCGATTAACTTCGTTTCATGTTATTCCTACGAATAAAAATGAATTAAAATTCAACTACATTTATATTTTATCAATGATTTCGATCGAACCTTACGATCAATGGCTGTAACGAATGAATGAATAAATAAAAACAGTAAACAAACAAATAAAAATCTATTCAAATCCGAATTGTTTTCATATCTTCGACGTAGAAGTTTCATGAAATGGGTAAAATTTATGAAGTAATCTAAATCTCGTATATCGTGATCCACAAAAGCGGCTCTCGTAGTTGCTAATAGACAAAAACTATCAGAGAAGGAAATCACATGTAAGCTATTCTCATACTCAACGGTCCCTCCTGTCTTCCAACTGGGAAATCCCGAATTTCCCATAGCAACGTGACGATGCACTCCATTACCCATGACCTCCGCACCGAGCTTGGGGGAGGCCTATACATCTGCGAATCAATGCAGCTCCATCGAATGCATCCCGGTCCTTCCTTCTTCCATCCCCCTCTATATCTCTCACTCACTTTTCATTGATTATTATTCAATTAAAATTATTCTATATACAATATAAAATTGTATACAATATATTAAAAATTGTACTTCTTTCTATCATGTATAATTCATATATATTAACAGCTGATATATTTATAGATAACACTGTTTCCTTTATATATATATATATTTTCTTTGCTTCTTAGTAAATTATATAGACATTTTAAAGATATTACAAATATTTTCTTTTTTATTCAGAAGAAATATGTATATGCCGATAATTATAGCATTGGACTAATCACAAGTAATAAAATCGGAAGAATTTGTATTATAAAATAAGTCATTAAATCAATTTTACTTTACAATTAGTCTACTGTCATAATCGACGGCATACATATAGTTTATAATAATTTATAATCCTATTATTATTTTTTTCCTTTTATATATTAATTTTATATTATCCTATAGAAATATTCTTTTCTTCTCTTTTTCTCTCTCATTTTTTTTTCTCTTCCAATTCATATTAATGTTCGTTCTCCGAAACGTATAGATATACATATAAACATATTACATTATTCTACTGCTGTTAGTAAAACGTAGTAATAAGGAGGATTAGACAATGTTGACGATAACGTTTCAGTCGCGTTGTGAACTTGACGCGCGCCTTTCTGCACATAATTCTCACAAAAAAAGACAACGACGAGAAGCCGTCGAGATGAACGGCAGCTGGAACAGCGGACTAGTCGAGGAGTCCGTGTCGGGCACGAAAATGCCTCGGTATATCCTCGAGAGGAAAAGCTCTCGATCAAACGAGAGGAAACCATCGATCGGTTACGATTCGAGCTTTTACGAACAATCGACTAAACGAACGAACGAACGTTCAACACAAGCTTCTACTTAACATCGATCGAATCTCA